GTCTGAAATCAAGCCCTTGAGGGAATATCCAGATATAACAGTTGGACAATATCAGCAAGAACCGCAATATCACTGAATCTGGTGACAAATGCAATTTAAGGCGATCAACAATAACTGTCAGGAGTAGGAGAGTAATGGAGGTAATTCCTTTCATTTTCAGGTTGTTTTTGTCCTCAATGGAGCCATCGATCACGGTCTGAAAAAGTCTGATAATAAGAGATAGAGATAAACCTTTAAACTTTTATTTGAAATCTTGTAGTTTGAAAGGGAAAAAAAAAAAAAAAATGGTGTGCTGTACTGGACTCCAAGTGGGGGGGGGGGGGGGGGCTTTTGCCATCTTTGTCAGTCACCACATTGAGAGTCAGAGCTGTCATCTTGTTTATATTGTATACATATACATACTGCCAGGATCCCAAATGTGCTGGAAGGGATTAAGTTTCTGTAGGATGGTTCAGTAAGGATGTTTCCCAGACAAGGATTACTTCCAATCTCATTTCAAGGATTTTTAAAATGGGTTTCTGTATATGATTTCCTAATCTGGGATAAGCTTAAACCCTGCCTGGAAGACCGAGCCCTCGGGCTTTCCTTCTCATGAAAACAGTGTGATGATAATGTAAAGCTATAGTGGTTTGTCTGGCGCTCTCAGAACGCCTAATCCAAAGTATGACACAGCTTTTGAGTGAACTCATCCATACAATGAGAAGTCTGTGTAGGATCCTCTGAGACTTGACCTCATATGGCTTCTGGGAGCAATCAACAGCTGAGCAAGTCATGAACAAGCCTCATAGACCAGCAAAACTGTATGTCAAACATTTTGCAGTGTATATACATGACTGTGTGTTTTTGAAACGAGTCAAGGTCTGATGTTGTGTTGAGAAATACACACTCAGTCATTGCTGTACTTCACATAAAATGACTTATTTACTTTTGTCTTTTTTATTAAAATGCTGACTAACCGAATGTTGATGAATTTTTTAACAACCTTCCGCCAACATTTACCCAGGATGATAAATGCAAGAGCCTGATATGAAATTGTGAAGATTAGCTAACATAATATATGGTCGAAACTTCCCAAACCTGCACCCCTATTTGGAAGACAAATGTAAAATTAAACCTCACAATATGAGGTGACGCAAAGCAGACAAATTATTACAATGGTCATATATGATGATGTGATTACAAGTTTCTTGCTGAAAAAAATGACATACTTGGCCTGGTCTAACTCTGTGCTGGTGCTGGAGCACAGTATTGGTTCAGCACATGTGGTATTGTTCAAGTAGATCCAGGAAGAAAACAAGAAGCAAAATTAAACTGATTGAATTGTAATTTCTTATTAGCCTGTTTTTCTTTCTTTTTTTTGTTTCTTTCATATATTTTGGATTTTGTCTGGCATAGTGCATAGTCATCCTCTGAATTTATGTAACCAAATCAATGGTATACCACACATTCATGAAAAAAAGTGACGCTACAATGTTTCCTAATTCAAGTATTTTTAATTTGCATTCTCTGCTTGGAACCTAAATATCAAAAGTAATAAAGAGTAATTCACTGTGTAGCAAATTACAGATGCGGTTAGTGTTAGGGTGACCATGCATCCTCTTTTACCCGGACATGTCCTCTTTTTTGGGGGCTGTCCAGGCTTGTCCAGCTTTGTCCCGGGAGGTTTTTAAAATCCTTTAAATGTCTGCGGTTTTGTACATAAGTTTTGAATTTGTGTCACATGGACTTACTGAGTTAGAAGCGCATAAAAGACACTCAATCCGACCCAAAAAACTCTTAAAATTAACTTTATGCAACTCCATGACCTAGTCAGTGTGCACTGAAATACTCACTTCACTCTCCAATTTTGGGATTTCCAGGTCCAGTTTCCGAAGGGTCCTGTATTTAATCTCCAAATCCAGCTCAGTCACCTGCAGCTTTCTCTTTTGCAGTTTAATTTGACTGTTTGTGAATTCTGAAAAAGAAATGTTATCATAGCAGGGTTTGGCCATAATGTCGATTTACTTTTGTTAATACTTATGGTGTTACCAGGCTGTTTCTGAGGCTGTGCCATGTCTGAGTCCTGTTAAACACATAGTATTTTCTATTAGCACCACATCACTGACTTCATATCCATTATAGATTAAATAAGCAGGATATTTCCACATAATTTACAGGATACCTGAAGCCGTTTGAAGTCTGCAGAAGTACATACAGTACATGTACCAAGAGAACTGTATTAATATTTGACAGGACATGCTAACTGTTGATTTCAATAAGTAGTACAGAACTAACCGGATCAGAGGTCCAATGATTACATCTCAGTCTTGGATCCATTTTGCATATTGTGCCAACGTCTCAATTTGGTCTTCAGATGACGTCCAAATTCTAAACGTCAGATCGATGTCTAAAAAATTTGGACGTCAAAATTTCTAACCTATTTTGCACGTCGCACTGATGTCAAGATGTGGTCTTTGACGAACCAACGCAATACTGACTTGATCTGCACGTCTCTTCGACATCCGATGTCGATACTTGCTACATTTAAAGTAAAGTGTACAACTGTTCATTAGTGGAATTGAAAAGTAACGGATTCCGTTGGTCCTTTAGATGTAATCTTAAAAGTTCCAGTCTACAATTTTTTTTTCAAACTACTTACGCAAAAACCCGGTCTGCAATTGTCTGCCATGCTCTCTCACAAGCTTTAATAATCGCAGCTGTGTAGCCCTTATTTTCTCATTACATCTTTTTCCTTCTCATAAAACTCCACGAGGAGCTATTGCTCGACCGCTGTGGCATATGACGTGAGTACATCCATTCGTGATTCTGTGACCAATCAGTACGTTTCCATGACACTCTAGAAAAAAGAATATTGCCTTACTCTGATTAAGACCGGACAACTGAAGTACCATGTAACCAGCGTAGTCGAAACATAATAGGACAATGTATGTGCACGTGCGCAACTCCCTGTAACCCCAGAACAAAAACACCAGAGAAGAGGAGTAGTGTGCACCTCATCTGCAGAAAAAGTAGCAGGTACATCATGTACATCAAAAACAATGCTGTACCATGCTCCATCTTCTTGCTCGAAAATTCCCAGCAGCAGTCACTTCTGACGTCTGGCACGGACCTGCTGTTGTTGTTGGGTCAACCAGAAACAGTGCCGCTGAAAAGACTCAAATCACCCCCTAGTTTTGGGGAGGAGGACACGTTCACGTCAGTAATTAAATTTTCTCAGCTGCATGTATACGCGGACAAGGAGAGAAGTCCGATTCGGCGAAAAAACCTGATTATGAGCTTAGTCCGGTTAAGCTGTGCATGTAACAAACTGTACGACGTGGACATGCACTTATCCCAACTATCTACACCTTGCTTGATATAGCAAAACCTTTTCATCCTGGCTCCGCAAACGTGCATCCGATTAAGCCAAAAAGGAACAACAGACTGGGTCAAGCTGCTCTTACTCTCTTATCCTGGATTGCTTCATTCTACTTTTGAACTGTACCCTCCTGGTCCCTCAAAGTTTTATCCTCACGTCTTCACGATCAGAGATGAATCGCAGAAACAAGGACAGCAGATCTGACATTCAGACGGGTTCTGCTTGAGGGTGTCCTGGTAGTTTTCATGGGTTGAACATAAATGACAAGTAATCAAAGTTTGTAGTAGATATGTAACTCCCTCAGTCATTAGCTGCTCTTTTCAGCTGTTTAAATGGTTAAGAGTTTTTCTAATCCTGACAGGTAAAATGTTGCAGGAAAACATCCCTGCTGAGAATTCAGTTTGAGAAGTAACTTCTAACAAAGTATAAAAACTTTGATTATCATTTTCTCTGAGCAGTTCAAGTTTTCTTGGCAACTGATTGCAACCTGTAAACAGCACTATGATCCAGTAGGACTGTGTCGTCTTCGATATGGCTCACAGGCCTGTGACCTGGGCTGAGGTCATCCTACTTAGTGGCATCTTAACCACATGCTGGAAAAAAAAAACTTTTAGTACTCTTGACTTACAAAACACTCACGTGACCTCCCTGCAAATGTCTCTCTGCATCTAATCCCACATCCTTAAAGTTCCTTTACTCCCTGACACACAACAGTGATAAAGAGACCTTGCACACTTATTGCACCGATTTACCGATCCATCCTCTTAAAATATTGGCCCTCATGAAACAGGGTTGACCGACTACTTTGCCCTTACCATAAGGCATGTGACGTGAGTGTAGGATCAAGGGCGTGTAGAAAAATCCTCTGTTCTGAGGTGAACTCTCGTTCCGGAGGGATTAAAGTTGCCTTACTTCTCTCACTCGTAACTGTAACTGTGGCTGCTGTCAGTACAGTTCCGTTTGCCACCATTTGTCCGGTTAAGCTGCTTTAAGTTTTGGCTGTCCTCTCATGCCCACCAGGGTCCACAGAATAGTCCTCTAAGAAAGACCATGTCATCATACATATTACAACAATACTGTAAAATGTACAATCCTGCAGTGTCTGTTATTCCTGACCAAAATAAACCCTTTTGTGTTTGATTGAACGTCATGCAGCTGACAACCTATAAGTCACCTTTACACATGATACAGACCTGGTAGTCATACATCACATATTGATTTTGTCTTGTTTTACTATACTTGAAAGAACAACAAAGCTGAACAATATTTGGTTCTGTAAGTTTCAATAAATAGTTAAAAATGTAAACTTATGTATGTATTAGTGAAAGGTCTCACACGTAATCTCCACTTTGATGGAGCGGACAGATATCCGCTTCAAAACAAGATTAGTCTTTTAAATTGTGTAACCTAATGAGCTCATAGTTTTAATTGGAGTTCAAAGTAAGGTTTCTTATTCCAGATCTGCTGATGGGAGTCACTGCCAACCAGCGCACCACAGAATTAATTGATTTCGACCTAAGCTCATCAGAACACTCTGAAGCATAGGTATAAAAGCCAAATTCGGGGTTAAAATCCTAGTCACCCTAGGAGGTTGTAAGTGACAAGAAAGGCCAACTGCTGGAGACCTCCTTCCAAGCACAGCATGGCAGAAGAGTGGGGAAAACAGTCTTTTGCTGCTCGGAGGCATTATGAAGACTCAACCAGAGGAGCTGCCTTCGTTTACACAAACAGCAATAATACCAGAGGTATAGTATGATCATTTTTTTTTCCCCACTGAGTGCATGTATAAGTCAGGAATGGTAACAATAAAAAAGAAAAGAATGAAGATGTAAATAAATGTATTAATAAAAAAAAAATATATATATATAAAAACAAGAATTAGAGCATGACTGTATTTCCGATAAAGGGTGATTAAAATGTAATAATTTCTGACAATATTATTTTGTTCGATTTGTCTCATCAGCTCAAAGACTAGAGATTGTCTTGCTGTCAGATGAATTCAGTCTTTTAAAGGAATACATTGTTGTTTGAAAGTTATCCATTACTCACACTGAGACACTATGTTATGCTCAAGTGAAAAAATGATTACATTTAATTGTGTGTCTTTAATGGTTATTTTGAGGAGCTTAATAGTTTGCTACTAGGTTTCCTCGTGGTAGTGAGTAGTTTTACAAAGACAGACAAATTAATTGACAGCATTGTGCCTCAGAATTAATTATGGCTGCTTCAGTCAACTTGAACCCCTGGATAACATCAGAACCTCAATAAAACATTGTTTCCAAATCCTTACTGTGACCACATGTGGAGCTTGTGAGACTATGAGATTCAGGATTGAGAAACGTTACTCACGTGCATGTGCTTCTTTTTCCTTTAGATCCCTTTGAGGGTCCCAATTACCACATCGCCCCACGATGGGTATACAATCTTGCAACACTCTGGATGATTGTAGTGGTCATCTTATCAGTTTTCACCAACGGTCTTGTCTTGGTAGCCACAGCAAAGTTCAAGAAACTCCGCCACCCTCTAAACTGGATCTTGGTCAATCTTGCGATAGCAGATCTTGGAGAGACAGTTTTTGCAAGCACCATCAGTGTATGCAACCAGATGTTTGGTTACTTCATTCTTGGACATCCAATGTGCGAGTTTGAGGGCTTTGTTGTCTCAGCTTGTGGTAAGTGTTGACAGTTTATTTCTACTACAGGAAGGTTTTGGCCACTATTTTTAGACCATAAATGCTGTAGTTGAATAATAAACTTTCTTGCACAGGTATTACAGCTCTCTGGTCTCTGACTATCATCTCCTGGGAGAGATGGGTTGTTGTGTGCAAACCTTTTGGAAATGTCAAATTTGATTCCAAATGGGCCGGAAGTGGGATAATATTTGCCTGGGTGTGGGCATCAGCGTGGTGTGCTTGTCCCCTCTTTGGATGGAGCAGGTAGCCTGCTGTTGTATTTCCAATTTGAAACACAGTGTTTTGAAATTATAACCAAAATTGTTTACCTTACAATTTCTTGCATTAGATACTGGCCCCATGGACTGAAGACTTCCTGTGGACCTGATGTATTCAGTGGAAGTGAAGACCCCGGAGTCCAGTCCTATATGATTTGTCTTATGCTCGCTTGCTGTATTTTGCCTTTGTCTATCATCATCTTGTGCTATCTTGCTGTCTGGATGGCTATCCGTGCTGTAAGTGATCCTAACAGAAGTTTCATACAGCACATGAACTGAACCACAGTCTGAAAGAATCTCACACTGTGCTGGTTTGTTGATCACAGGTTGCCATGCAGCAGAAAGAATCAGAGTCAACCCAGAAAGCTGAGAGAGAAGTATCTAGGATGGTCGTTGTCATGATCTTTGCGTTCATATTCTGCTGGGGACCTTACACCTTCTTTGCCTGCTACGCTGCAGCTAACCCTGGTTATGCTTTCCATCCCTTGGTTGCATCCATGCCAGCATATTTTGCCAAGAGCGCCACCATCTACAATCCTATTATCTATGTCTTCATGAATCGACAGGTTGGCAGAAAAGAAAGCATTACTACAGTGAACAATTTTCAATATGTTTTTCATTGACAATCTTGTCATTTTCATTGTTTGTGTCTTTCAGTTCCGTGAATGCATCATGAAACTTTTTGGCAAAGAAGTGGAAGAAAGCTCTGAAGTATCTTCATCAAAGACAGAGGTCTCCTCTGTGGCTCCTGCATAAACCTCCATCTTCGCCCTTTTGGAAAAAAAAAAAAAGAAAAAAAAAAAAAAAAAGGGAGAACCATTGTAATTCATACAGTAAATATTTATTGTACCTGTTTTCTTTATATCCATTTTTTTAGCAAAATAGTGGGTTTCTTGCAAATACAAAAATGACAAAAAAAAAATCCAATGCAAATAAATGCAAAGTATACTGACATAAGTTTCCATATCACTGTTTTTGTGTGAGTAACAGTCGATCAAAAATTACACAACATGATAAAAATGGACAAGTATTTGTCTTATTGAGGCATATTGCTTGTCTGTTTTCCAACTCATGATTCCCTGTGAGGATGTATGACTTTTAAGATATGGATTAAATGTTCTCTAATCTGATTTAATGGAGATTTATCTGCTCAGAGAGTCTTCATATTATATTGTTGACATGACCAGTGTCATGCACCAATGTAACCAATGGTTTATTGTACACTTAATAAGACTTATTTCTAATTTTTTTAAGGTCTAGGCCACTTCTGCAGCGTCATTACTGCTTTTTTACTGTTCGACTCTGCTTTAGTACAGCAATGACTGTAAAGGGGAAAAACTGACAAAAATGGTAGGGTTGTTGCAAGGTCTACCAGTGCTCAGCTTTTCTTTTGTAGTCATTTTGCAAACTGCTTTGTACAGAGTGAAAGTTCTTATTCTAACATTTTAAATCATCCTCTTCTCTCCTCTAACAGTCTGTGGCTGTCAGGATGCCAAATTAACCTTTTCTCAATCATCTCAAAACCCTGTTGAAAAAAAGCTTAACAAAGTCCACACACACACACACACACACACACACACACACACACACACACACACACACACACACACACACACACACACACACACACACACACACACACACACACACACACAACATCATCAGAGATCTTAGAGATGTCTGTCTGCAAGACTCTTACACGCAATGAAATACAGTTGCAATCAAAACTAGAAAATTCCGTCTGGAAAATTCTGAAAGAGCCTCAAGAACTACTGCAGAGACGTGTACATTATGATGAGATTCTTCAGAGATTTCAAATAATTAATACTAGAAGCATTGTGATATTGAAAACAAGGAGCACATCTACAACAAACATTTTTTTGGTATTTATTTTTACAAAAAAAAAAAATGGTGCTGGAGCAGCGGACGTTTAAAAACTCCAATTATTGTCTGCTTTTCTGGGGCTTTAACTGATTTCAGTGCAATAATTTTTTGCAGTTTTTCACAACTTTCACATCACTTAAAAGTGCAGGTACTAGATTGGCCTGCCTGCAGTTCAGACCTGTCTCCTATTGAAAATGTGTGGTACATTATGACACGCCAAAAATACCACAAGGGAGACCCCGGACTGTTGAGCTACAGAAGTCATACATCAAACCAGAATGGAAAAGAATTCCCCCCTAAAGCTAAGATGTTATCAAAGCATGGGCATTCAGTGCTTTCTTCATCTGGTCCCTCAAAGTTTTATCCTCACATCTTCACAATCAGAGATGAATCACAGAATCAAGGACAGCAGATCTGACATTCAGACAGGTTCTGCTTGAGGGTGTCCTGGTAGTTTTCATGGGTTGAACATATATGACAAGTAATCAAAGTTTGTAGAAGATATGTCACTCCCTCAGTCATTAGCTGCTCTTTCAGCTGAAAGCACACTGTCCTGTTTAAATGGTTAAGAGTTTTTCTAATCCTGACAGGTAAAATGTTGCAGGAAAACATCCCTGCTGAGTATTCAGAGAGTTTGAGAAGTAACTCCTAACAAAGTATAAAAACTTTGATTATCATTTGCTCTGAGCAGTTCAAGTTTTCCTGGCAACTGATTGCAACCTGTAAACAGCACTATGATCCAGTAAGACTGTGTCGTCTTCGATATGGCTCACAGGCCTTTGACCTGGGCTGAGGTCGTCCTACTTAGTGGCATCTTAACCACATGCTGGAAAAAAAAACTTGTATTCTTGACTTCCAAAACACTCAAATGACCTCCCTGCCAATGTCTCTCTGCATCTAATCCCACATCCTTAAAGTTCCTTTACTCCCTGACACACAACAGTGATAAAGAGACCTTGCACACCTATTGCACCGATTTACCGATCCATCCTCTTAAAATATTATCTATTGAGTTGGCCCTCATGAAACAGGGTTGACCGACTACTTTGCCCTTACCATAAGGCATGTGACGTGAGTGTAGGATCAAGGGCGTGTAGAAAAATCCTCTGTTCTGAGGTGAACTCTCGTTCTGGAGGGATTAAAGTTGCCTTACTTCTCTCACTCGTAACTGTAACTGTGGCTGCTGTCAGTACAGTTCCGTTTGCCACCATTTGTCCGGTTAAGCTGCTTTAAGTTTTGGCTGTCCTCTCATGCCCACCAGGGTCCACAGAATAGTCCTCTGAGAAAGACCATGTCATCATACATATTACAACAATCCTGTAATATGTACAATCCTGCAGTGTTTGTTATTACTGACCAAAATAAACCCTTTTGTGTTTCATTGGACGTCATGCAGCTGACAACCCATTTGGAAAGGTCACCTCTGCACTTGCTTACTTCAAAGTTGGATATCAGATGACACAGACCTGGTGTTCACACATCATATATTGATTATTTGCTTGTCTTGCTATACTTGAAAGAACAAAAAATAAATCAATAGTCAAGAGTTGTGTCTGCATTCAAAAGTTTAAATGGAGTTTCTGGGTGCAAGTATGCTGGAGACATAAGACATTTAAAAAACTTTAATATCTGACTCTTTCTTTGGCTTCTCCCATTAACTTTAATGCAGTTTTATTCCACAGTATTTTGTGACGTAAGTCGAAAAGTGATAGCACACAGATCCCGATCAAACTGCACGTTTTGATATATAATTTATCCTACAACTCTACAAGCTGCAGGACTAGTGGTGGATCAAAATTTGTTCTGAGTAGGAATCCACAATAAAACAATCGATTCGCGCTGAAGCACTCTCAGAAAATCCTGTGGTGCGTTTGCCCCATCGCCCTAATAATGCATTATGTTTTTGAATGAACTTGCCCATCACTGGTCAGGAATGTATGTTGATGACTTTTAATCCATCGTGCACAGACATGCATCATATATACAAAAGTACATGTCTGCATCCACACATCTAAAATCAGTGCTGTGATGACTGTATGATCACAAAATATCAGTAAATAAACTTTAAAATCAACTAGAAAATCTCCTCTGGGAAATTAATTTTAAATAATTAATTCTAGTAACACTGTGATATCACAATCAAGGAGCACATCTAGAACAAACAGTCCTTTTTTAAGTATTTATCTATATAATAAGAAAAACAGAGCCATAGACATTTGAAAAACTGCAATAATTCCTTTTTTTGTTTGTTTGTGTTTGTTTGTTTTTGTTTGGGGGGGTGGGGTTAGCTTGTCCCATTGACTTCAGTGCAATTTTTTTACGCAGTGTTTCGTGACTTACATCTCAAAAAGATTTGTACAGAGAAAAGTTATAGCTCACCCATCCTGATCAAGATCAAACAGCACATTTTGTTATATACTTTGTCCTACAACTCTTCATTGTATAAGAACCTGCTGTAAAGTTTATAGCATCTCCATTGTTTAGGAGCCAGTGCCTTGGTGTGTCTGCCCCATGTCCCTAATTGAGATTTTGATTCAAGAGTCAATATTTTATGAATCAAATTGCTCTAAAAATGATTCACTGATGAAGAGATATCAGAGAAGTCCATGTTTAGTGAATTTGTTTTAGCTGTGGGCCTGACCTGAGGCTCACAGGTTTCCAAGGCAACTTGAGCTGGTTGCCCAAGATGATAAATGCAATGCAGACTGAGCCAGTCAAGACCAGGAAAAAGTTATTTTTTCCCTTGGTGCTGGCCTCACATTTGGGCTTATTCTGACAAAACGGCAGTATGTTGATGGTTCTGGGCCAGCCTTAAGACCACCTGCTTTGCACCGGGCTTAAAACCAACTTCTTCCTCCATGAGAAGGATGGTTCATGGAGTCTTCTGGTAGAGTACTTTGGTCTTTTTGGTTTGAACTGACTAAATTATGTCATTTTCAGCTCTTTTTCCAAAGCTTTTCATGTGTATTTGGCTCATTTAGACACCTGAAGAATACACAAAACGAGATGAGCCCTAAGGAGCGGATAAGCAGCATTGACCTGTCCAGCTGTCTGGGTGATGTGGTTCATGTACTTTTTGCTTGATTTTATGAATGATGCCTGAATAGGCGACACCGCTCTGAATCTGTGACCAATTCCAGTTTTACCCTGAAGAAGAGGCAGCTGAATATGACGACAGGAGGGCTTTTGTGGATCTTCTGAAAGGATGATAAGAGGATCTCTCCTCGAGAGGCTAGTCTGCAGAACCCCTTTGTTACAATGTCCCACCTGACCGTGCACCCCCACTTCAGAGCATAGTAAGTGACAGAGATAGTCACTCTGCTAATTTATGAGCAGTTGATGAGATAGTTACAGACAGTGACATGCAGTCAGGGGAGGTCATCATGGAAAGAAAAAAAAAGTAAAATGAAAAAATTAATTAAATGGTTACATTTATCCAGTGATTTGCACTATAAAGGTATTTTTCATTTAACTTTACCAGTTTTAGATCTTCTTTTTAAAATCTAAAATAGCTCAATTTTCACATTTGCTGTTCAAATACTGAGAAGAGACGTGCAGTTAGGCAGCAGCCAGATGAGCCTCACCATGGCTTGCGCAACGACTTGGCTAACTGTACTGGCATGCTCTGCAGTGAGACCGTGTTGTGTAAGTGGCGCCCCTAATGTTAATGCACAACTGTGATCTGAGCATGCGTGAGACAACAGACGTTCCGATTCCACCCAAACGCTAGGTGGAAAGATCGCAAACGGACTAAAATACACATTTAATGGAATGATTAATACAATAGCATGATTTCTTTATTTTGATACTAATTTTCAGGTAGACAGCAGAGATCTCTTTTTGATTACGCTGGCTCACGCAGCTCAGGCGGG